CTATCATATGCCTTTTCTAAATCCATAAATGTGATAAAAACTTCCCTACCTTTATCTAAATACTGTTCACACATATGCCTCAATGTAAACACTTGATCTACACATCCCCTACCCACTCTGAAACCTCCTTGCTCATCCGCAATCCTACATTCTGTCTTACCTCTAATTCTTTCAATTATAACCCTACCGTACACTTTTCCTGGTATACTCAGTAAACTTATTCCTCTATAATTTTTACAATCTCTTTTGTCCCTCTTCCCTTTATATAAAGGGACTATACATGCTCTCTGCCAACCCCTAGGTATCTTCCCCTCTTTCATACATTTATTAAAAAAAATTCCAACCACTCCAACACTACATCCCCCCCTGCTTTTAACATTTCTGTCACAATCCCATCAGTTCCAGCTGCTTTACCCCCTTTCATTCTACATAATGCTTCACACACCTCCCCCACACTCACATCCTGTTCTTCTTCACTCCTAAAAGATGGTATACCTCCCTGGCCAGTGCATGAAATTACCGCTTCCCTTTCTTTGTCGACATTTAAAAGTTCCTCAAAATATTCTCGCCATCTACCCAAAACCTCCATCTCCCCATCTACTAACTCCCCTACTCTGTTTTTAACTGACAAATCCATTCGTTCTCTAGGCTTTCTTAACTTGTTTAACTCACTCCAAATTTTTTTCTTTTCATTAAAATTCCTTGACAGTGCCTCTCCCACTCTATCATCTGCTCTCCTTTTGCATCTCTCATAAGCTAACTTTTTCTCTTTTATCACACCCTTTACTTCATCATTCCACCAATCACTCCTCATTCCTCCTGCACCCACTCTCCTATAACCACAAACTTCTGCCCCACATTCTTATACTGCATTTTTAAAACTATTCCAACCCTCTTCAACCCCCCCACTACTCATACTTGCACCAGCCCACCTTTCTGCCAATAGTTGCTTATATCTCACTCAAACTTCCTCCTCCCTTAGTTTATGCTCTTTCACCTCCCTCTTGCTTGTTGTTGCCATTTTCCTCTTACTCTAACTGTAGCTACAACTAAATAATGATCCGCTATATCAGTTGCCCCTCTATAAACGTGTTCATCCTGGAGCCTACCGATCAACCTTTTATCCACCAATACATAATCTAACAAACTACAGTGGTCCCTCAATAATCGTCCGGCCTGAAAGTCATCCATTTCAGAAATAGTCCTGTTATTTCGTCTAAACATTAGCTCGCAAATGGTCAGGTAACTCGCTAATAGTCCTTCGTCCGGGATGCGTACTCACGCTCTGAGCCGCCTCGGCCTCTCTTCCCAGCCAGTGTGCCTTTGTTTACCAGTGAGCGACGGTCCCCTCACTTGCTCCAACGAAATATTTCATAATATTCCACTGATTTTAGTGCTTGCAAGTGCTAAATAAGCTACCATGGCTCTAAAGGAAGCTCCTAGTGCCAAGCCTTTGGTAAAGAAGGTGAGAAATACGATTGATTTTAAGAAAAACATCATTGAACAATATGATAGTGGCGTACGTGTGGGCGAACTGGCCAGGATGTATAACAAATCCTATACAACTATATCTTCCTTCATAGCCAAGAAAAAGGAAATCAAGGACACTGTTGTTGCAAAGGGGGTAAATATGCTGACAAAAATGAGATGACCAGTGCTCGAAGATGTTGAGAAGTTATTATTGGTGTGGATAAATGAGAAAAAAATTTTAGCAGGAGATAGTCTTATGACGTCGCTTATTTGTGAAAAGGCTAGGCATTTGCATGACAAATTTGGTAAAGAAATTGCCTGCAACTAGTGGTGATGTGAGTGAATTTAAGGCCAGCAAAGGCTGGTTTGAGAGATTTAAGAAGCGTACTGGCATACACAGTGTGGTAAGGGGCATGGTGAGGCTGCCAGTTTTGACAACAAAGTGGCTGAAAATATGTGCATGAATTCAAGGAGTACATAAACAGTGAAGACTGAAACCTGAACAAGTGTTCAATTGTGATGAACAGGCCTCTTTTGGAAGAAAATGCCAAAGAGGACCTACATTACTCAGGAAGAAAAGGCACTGCCAGGACACAAGCCTATGAAAGACAGGCTGACGCTAATGTTCTGTGCTAATGCTAGGGGGGGATTTCAAAGTGAAGCCGTTACTAGTGTACCATTCTGAAAATCCCAGAGTGTTCAAGAAAAACAATGTTATGAAGAGTAAATTGGTGTGTTTTGGAGATCTAATAGTAAGGCATGGGTCACAAGGGACATTTTCGTTGAGTGGTTCAATGAAGTGTTTGGCCCTAGTGTGAAGAATTCCCTCCTGGAAAAGAAAATTGGATCTAAAGTGCCTCCTAGTATGGACAATGCACCTGCTCATCCCCCAAAACTTGGATGACCTAATTCTGAAGGAGTTTGGGTTATCACAGTAAAGTTCTTCCCCCCGAATACCACTCCTCTCCTCCAGCCATGGACAGCAAGTCATTTCAAACTTAAAAAAAATCTACACCAAAGCAATGTTTGAAAGGTGCTTAAATTTGTGACCTCAGACACTCACTTGACCAACGAGATTTTTGGGAAAGAACACTTCAGTATTCTCCATTGTGTAAGCCTTTATAGGTAAGGCTTGGGAGGGGGGTGAACCAGGACTTTGAACTCTGCTTGGAGAAAATTGTGGTCAGATTGTGTCCACAAGAGGGATTTTGAAGGGTTTGAGGCAGCCCATGATAGCATATGTCATTGTGAACTCTATTGTCCCTGGGGAGTTAATGGGGTTTTGGGTGGGAGTTTGGGGATGGAAGAGTTGGTGGAGGACCACAAAGAAAAGCTAAACCACTGAGGACTGCAAGAGCTTTGCGGAAGAGCAACAGATACAGCTCAGAATCTTTCTGCAGAGGAGGAGGAAGAGAGATGGAAGAAGGTGCCTTCTTCAGAAAATTAAGGAGATTTTGAAATGGGGGTAGGATGGAAGATTATGGAGAAACATCACCCAGAGAAGGATTTGCAAGCCATATGGCAACTTGCACAGTGACAGGTCTTGGCCTTTTAGGGAAGTTTTTTTAAAAGAGCCAGAAACAGAGCTCTCGACAGTTTTTTGGGGCAGGGGCTCCAGTGACTTTTCAAGGTGTCTAGGGCATTAAGAAGCAGAGAAGAGAAAGTAACCCCCGGGAAAGGGAATGGTACCGAGATGTTGGAAGGGGATTCCCCTTCCAAACAGTAAATAATCCAATCTGTCTCCTTCTCCAGTCTTCCATGCACAAAGAAGAATCGCCAATAAAGGTAAGTGTTATTCTGTTAATGTTTAATTAATCATGTGCCGCTGTATTGTTTATGTACTACATCTAATTTCATGTAAAAAAATTTTTTGTTTTAATACTTCTGGGTGCCATTTCGATAATAGTCCCACTTCCAGGAACGGATTAAGGACGATAACTGAGGGACCACTGTATTTTCATTACGTGCTATATATACCTTGTATATTTATTTATCCTCTTCTTCATAAAATATGTATTACTTATTACCAAACCTCTTTCTACACATAGCTCAATTAAAGGCTTCCCATTTTCATTTACCCCTGGCACCCCAAAATTACCTACTACTCCTCTACAACATTTTTGCCACTTTAGCATTGAAATCCCAACACATTTCCTCAACTTGGTTCGAAATCCCACGCATTCAATCAAAATTTCCCAAACTCTCTCTCCTCTACACTTTTCTCTTCTCCAGGTGCATATACGCTTACTATAACCCTTTTCACATCCAAACCCTTATTTACTCACATAAACCTTTAATAATACATTTGTAGTCCCTTTTTCCTGCAAATTCCTCAACATTATTTCTACTCCCTCTTAGCTCAACTCTTTTGAAACCCTGACTAATCCATTTATTCCTCTCCACGAAACTCTCCACCCCTCAGCTTGTTTCACTTAAAGCCAGGACATCCAGTTTTATTCATAACATCCACATCATCTCTTTCTTTCCTTTTCAAACATCCAGCACATTCAGACTTCCAATTTGACATTTTCTTCTTCTTTATTCTTTTAGTAATTACGGAAAAGGGTTATAGCCCTTGTTCCGCATTTTAGTTGACTTTTAAAACGCATAGTTATGGGAAGAAAATTCTTATTCCACTTCCCAAGGATATAAAAAGGAAAATAATAAGATCAAGACTATTAAGATAAATCACAGAAAATCAATTGGGGTGTGTATAAATAAACATGTACATGTATATGTAGTGTGACCTAAGTGTAAGTAGAAGTAGCAAGACGTACCTGTAATCTTGCATATTTATGAGACAGACAAAAGACACCAGCAATCCTACCATCATGTAAAACAATTACAGGCTTTTGTTTCACACTCACTTGGCAGGACGGTAGTACCCCCCTGGGTGGTTGCTGTCTACCAACCTACTGCCTACTACTACTACTACTACTACTACTACTACTACAGTGGACCCCCGGTTAACGATATTTTTTCACTCCAGAAGTATGTTCAGGTGCCAGTACTGACCGAATTTGTTCCCGTAAGAAATATTGTGAAGTAGATTAGTCCATTTCAGACCCCCAAATATACACGTACAAACGCACTTACATAAATACACTTACATAATTGGTCGCATTCGAGAGGTAATCGTTATGCGGGGGTCCACTGTACTTGTATTTACATTAATTCTTATGGGAAATATTATTTTGGTTTTCTGCCATTTAGGTTTTAGGCCTAGGTTCTGGAACGGATTATGGCTGATAACCAAGGGTCCACTGTATGTTGTAATAAACAGAACAGAGGAAATCAGCTCTAATATACATTATTGAGGTATGCATACTGGTAAGTCCGAGTCGTTGGTAAACGAGTACGTCGGTAAGTGAGGAGAGGCTGTAGTTAGAGCTGGATAGGTGCAGTAATACAAAAAATATGGGAGCTGCAGTGAAAAACAGAGAAACAACAAAAGGTAGCAATGGCAAACAGAAATAATAAAAATGTAACAAAGAAAGAGCAATAAGTATTTAACCTCAAACTAAACTTACCTAAATATTTCATATTATCAACAGCTTTCATCCTAAAGTAATAAGGAGGGAGGTCAGAATTTGTTTTGTTGTCAATCTCTAGCATGAGCAACTTGGGTTCGTAGTATATGTCAGCAACCCGGTCTAGCCGTCGCTCTATTTCTCGCTTTAATGCCTGATAAATATATTAAAGAACAAAAAATGTGAAACCTTTGAAAATAATTCAGAGTTAAAACTAATTCAAAAAAAGTTTTACAAATAATAAGAGAATTTATTTACTTATATATATATATGTGTATGTATGTATGTATAAACATCTCAATACCATGCCTGAGATCATCACAAAAATCCTACACATTTTAAAGGAACCTTCAGTCACAAAAAAATGTGGAGATAAATAGAAGGCAGGTGTTCTTCCTATTTCTGTTTACTGGTTATCTCTCTTTTTCTCATTCAGCTGTGACCTAATAATGGTCCAAGACAACAAAATAGCATCTAAAATCTCTTCTCCAAATTGTGATTTATTTATGTTAGTATGGTACCCTAAAAGAGGATATACATTATACTGCATCTGTGACCTACCCAAAACACTAGCCACAGCAAGGATTTGTAAATACAGTATAGTACTGTCCTGGTAAATTATTTTACACTAATCAAATATTTATAATAAGTAAAGCATTCATAGTGAAACCAAAATTATCGCTTCATATATTCAATATTATTAAATATTAAACTGCTGCTGTGCACAAAACATTTTAATGTTTATTCTCAAAATTAAAAAATATTGAGGTAAAAACCCACACTAAGTATTCAATTCACATTTTCAATCATCATATATTGTAAGACGGGAGCTAGCTAGAAGCTTTAGATTTGTGGTAAAACATTCTATGGCAATTTGATTAACACAATATTTAAAAGAACACTTACTTTTTATCATGATTAGAGTATATACAGTATGTTATATATTCATTATACAGCATGACTCATGAAACTGTAATAATACGATTGCAAACAAACCACGGAACAGGTGGAGTTTGAACCCATGGTGAGTCATAAAACTCCAGGTCAGTGCATAAGCAGAGTGGCTTACACACTGGCCTGGAGTTTTACGACTCACTTGCCATGGGTTCACAACCCACCTGTTCCATGGTTTGTTTCATTATACAGTATTTTGTAAATACTTTACTAACCTTTTTAGCCTCAGAACCAGGTATATGAGGATCTCTTCTTGAACGATCTTTCATACGGCCAACTTGCCTCTTAAAACAGGTCACAAACAGTATTATAGCAAAGAGAATGACCCCAATAAACATCAGAGTCATAGCTCCTGCTGTAGGCATTTTTACCAAGCTGATGATTTAAGTCTCTGAAGAGAAAGAGCCAGGGCTGTTCATAACTTAAATGTTGTAACCAATTACCTGCAAAGAAAACATAAATTGCAGAACATGAAAATGTGTTTTTTATCCACTACAGTACATTGAGTCCATACAGACTGCCAGAATTCTGCCAGATGATGGGGAGCGATGGAAGTTTCACTGAGGGTGGAGGGAAGTGGATATCTTGCTATGACTGGAGAATGATGTAGAGAGTAGTACAAGTCTCTACTTTGCACATAGTACTTATGATCAACATTTCTTTCAAATACTGCCTCCTCAGTAGTTCACAAAATAGTGAAACACCTGTTGGTACAGTAATTCCAAGCAGTTCAGGTTGCAGTAAGGTCATGCTTAGGGAGCTTGAGCAGAATCCAGTTCTGGTCCTCATTTTTGTTGTATAACTATCGGTAAGTAAAAAATGACAGAACCCTATCTGTAAACACAGGCTTCTGCCCTTACAAGCACAACACTGTAGGCTCAGGGTGCTGGAAGCCTTAGGTTAGGTTGAATTTGATTAGTCTTAATTTAGCCTGAGTTTTATTAATATTACATTAGGTTGAGTTAGCTAAGGTTAGGCTCAGCTACAAACAGCATAGGTTAGGCTAAAAGTTAGATTAAGCTTAACCGTTTATCCATGGAAGGTCAGCATAATTAGTTACCACTTTCCCTCTGTGGACACATTTAAAAAAAATAATTAAAGTGAGTAAACTTTGAGAAGATCCAAGTATTCTCTGTGTGAAGGATCCATTTATACCAGTTAGCACATAGTAGTACTGACCTAACACCTCCCAGCCTGATAGCTTTTACCCTCATTATACATGCGTTGTATTGCATATTGCATTAATAAAACTCCCAGCAAACAAGACATTTCCTAATACTGTAAACAGTGATGGTGCCATGGGGAGCTTGGGGAGATTCAGCCCCCCAATGCCCTCATACAAAAATATTAGTAAGCTTATTTAAGGACAGATACACATATGTACACTTATCATACATAGTGTAAATTAGCTTACCAAGGAAAACCCCCAAAAAAGTCAAACAAAGTGATTTATCTTCATGGGGAAGATGAGAATTCTTTCTTGATAAGCTATGCATAATGTCATAAGAGAAAAAGAAAGAAAAAGTAACCTGGTCTGAAAATCAATTTAAGATTCTTCTCAAAAGCCACTTAATCACCCTAGACTAAATACTCAATATTTAACACTACCAATAAATCTACCAATTACCTAAATCTTAAAACTTCATAACTAGACAACCAAGCTCATATATTGACAAATTACCACATAGAAATATACATACCTACCAAAACAAGTATTGCCCTTCACCAAATTGTAGCAGTCTCATACTGTTAACTACTGTAAACTACTCCTGAATCATGTTTCATAAAAAGCATTTTTGAATACATGAATATATCCTTTGGTTTGTATAAATTAGATTCATTTATTATTAATAGAACTACTGTACAACTTATGATAACTTCTTTAGTGTTAAGTAGTCAAGAAGCCATTAAATTAAGTCAGCACATAATGCCAAGGCATAATAAGAGGTTCTCTTTGCACTGCAACACATTATTGTAAAAATATAATCTCTATGTACTACTTGCAAAAAAGTAAATGAATTTGAATTTGAATTTTGAATTCACAAAAATCCTACAGTGTAGAAGAAATATTAGTCACAATCAAACATAAAAATGTGGAGAGAGATAAGAAGCCAGGCGTTTTCCCTTCCTATTTTTGTTTTCTGGTGCATATGTTCACCTTGCAGTATATATATGTTCACCTTGCAGTATATATATGTTCACCTTGCAGTATATATATGTTCACCTTGCAGTATATACATGTTCACCTTGCAGTATATATATGTTCACCTTGCAGTATATATATGTTCACCTTGCAGTATATATATGTTCACCTTGCAGTATATATATGTTCACCTTGCAGTATATATTGTTCACCTTGCAGTATATATATGTTCACCTTGCAGTATATACATGTTCACCTTGCAGTATATATATATGTTCACCTTGCAGTATATATATGTTCACCTTGCAGTATATATATGTTCACCTTGCAGTATATATATGTTCACCTTGCAGTATATATATGTTCACCTTGCAGTATATATATGTTCACCTTGCAGTATATATATGTTCACCTTGCAGTATATATATGTTCACCTTGCAGTATATATATGTTCACCTTGCAGTATATACATGTTCACCTTGCAGTATATATATGTTCACCTTGCAGTATATACATGTTCACCTTGCAGTATATACATGTTCACCTTGCAGTATATATATGTTCACCTTGCAGTATATATATGTTCACCTTGCAGTATATAAGTACATGGGTACTTCACCTTTCAGTATTACTGTTCACCTTGCAGTATATACATGTTCACCTTGCAGTAATAAAAATACATTTCACCTTGCAGTATATATATGTTCACCTTGCAGTAATATTTTGTTCACCTTGCAGTATATATATGTTCACCTTGCAGTATATAAGTACCTGGGTACTTGGCACCTTGAGGAAAAAACAAAGATAAATGAGCCACAATATTCGAGTTTCTTGTATTAACTAATAATTCAAAGTCAGATTTCTTTCACCTGGAAACTGCCTCTGAAGTAAAGTGATGACGTATTGTTCTTCGTCAGTATTCATACGTAAATACACCAAAACTTATTGTTTTACTACACTAATGTTGAGATCTCGAATAAATTTATAACAATTCCTGTTATTGTTGTTTATCAGGGCCACTGACAGCTTACACAGTATCCAGCCCGACTTCCCGATGTTCAGGGAAGATTTGTTTCCCAAAGCTAGATGATGAAAGAAAAAGGAAAAAAGAGTTCATTTATAAATAGAAACAGGAACTAAAAGTTCCCAATTAGATCAGGAAGACACCCTTGCCAAGCCCCAGCAGAGCGATATGCCCATACACCTCACCTTGGTTCAGTAACCGACTCTGCACCAAAACCGTGAAAGAATTTTCAGCAGTGCCGAAAAATAGAGGTGACTTAAATTAACCCGATGACAGGTGCCCCTCTCGTAATGTGCCTGGAGAACAAAATAGATGACGACAAGCGTCCAGAGAGAACATTGGAAATTCGTCACTGATACTCAGGGGAGGAAGACGTTCACACCTGACGAAGGCTAGAGTAGAAGTCTAAGCAGAACTAAATTTGCTGGTGTTGTTGTTGTTAAGGGTTACTAAAGTTTATGCTTTATTGAACCCTGCTTGCCGGTAGTCCGTAAAAAACAATGTTGCCCAAATTGGACAAAAAATATAATGAAAACAAAGTTTCCTCTGGAAAGAGAAACTGAAACAATAAATTCCCAATTAAGTCAGGTGACTCACCTTGCTTAAATCCCAGCAGAGGCAAACACTCACACACAAATGCCTGAGTTAAAAGAACGCCAGGCTTTCCCGAAGCCTAAAAGTTGGCGAGCTGACCAGTTGTCCAGCAGCTAGCAATGTTAAGTAAGTAAGTAAGTTTATTCAGGTATACACACATACAGTTACATAGAATTATCGTACATAGCAGCATATGTGTAGAGAACCTAGGATAACCCAAAAAAGTCAGACAGAGTAACTTATTTCTATTGGGGTCCTTTTCATGAGGACATTGGACACACACGTCCCAGGAAAAGAAAACAAGTAAATTTGACACTGATACTCAAAGCATGGAGTAGAACGAGACGTGGCCTGGTGGCCAAAGCTCTCGATTCACACGGTGAGGTGTCTGGGTTCGATTCCCGGCGAAGGGGTGGAAACATCGGACGTGTTACCTTACACCGGTTGTCTATGTTCACCCATCAGTAAAATGGGTACCTGGGTGTTAGTGGACTGGTGTGGGTCGCAGCCTGGGAGAAAACTGACCTAATTTGCCCGAAATGCTCTGCATAACAAGCGGCTTTCTATACAGTAGTAACAAAAAAAGGCACAATACCGTGACTGGAACGATACACAAATAACCCGCACATAGAAGAGAGGAGCTCACGACGATGTATACCTTGTACATTTACTTGTAGTAAATAAAAATATTATAATAATAATAATAATAATAATTATTATTATTATTATTATTATTATTATTATTATTATTATTATTATTATTATTATTATTATTATTATTATTATTATTATTACCAACGATGGTGCAGAAGTTCGCTACCTTTTCCCTATGGATCTATAGGGCCACTGCAAATCACGCCGTATTAGGCTTTGTTTCCCAGTTGGTTGGTTTATTAATTAGGTTTAAATTATTATTATTAAATTTATAGGGGAGCGCTAAACCCCTAGTGATCATATATTCCCTGGGGAATGGAAGACATTCAGACTCGATTCAAGAAATTAGAACACACTAGTACCGAACTTGCACACGAAAATCACTCACTACGAAAGCAAACAGCTTGGCAACGTGCACCATCCCCCCAATGAAAACAGGGGTGTCACTAGCACTTAAGAGACCATACAATAAGTGTTCAGGTGACCTGATCTGTTCAACTGCTCCAGACACATAAGGGATTACCAACAGACCCCTGGCAGTCTTCAAGCTGGCACTGGACAAGCACCTAAAGGCAGTTCCTGATCAGCCGGGCTGTGGCTCGTACGTTGGTTTGCGTGCAGCCAGCAGCAACAGCCTGGTTGATCAGGCGCTGATCCACCAGGAGGCCTGGTCACAGACCGGGCCGCGGGGGCGTTGACCCCCGAAACTCTCTCCAGGTAAACTCCAGGTAAACACAATTTCCTTAGATCTCGAGCCCATCTTTCTTATCACCAGCAGCAAGGAACCTTCCCTGAGGTGAAACAGTGTTTCAAGTCTATAAATTACCTGTGAGTCAATTAAACTATTTACCTCGTCAAAAATATTCTTAATTAACAATGATGAAATTAAGACACATGTTCAACATCTGGGTATCTTTATTGTAGACGTTTCGCCATCCAGTGGCTTTATCAATACAAACTCTAGGACATAATTTAAAGACAGTAGAACTATATACAGAAGATGAGGTAATCAGTCCCTCAACCTTGGAGTTGGTGTGAAGAGCACCGTAGTTGTGGAAGCTCTGGAGGAGAGACAAGGAGCCTGGCGCTTATGTATTAACGTCAGGTGGAAAGGGGACGTGTTAATTGGAGCTTACCTGAAGAGAGTTCCGTTGGTCAACGTCCCCGCGGCCCGGTCTGTGACCAGGCCTCATGGTGGAACAGGGCCTGATCAACCAGGCTGTTACTGCTGGATGCACGCAATCCAACGTACGAGCCACAGCCCGGCTGATCAGGTACCGACTTTAGGTGCCCGTCCAGTGCCTGCTTGAAGACATCCAGGGGTCTATTGGTAACCCCCTTATGTATGCTGGGAGGCAGTTGAAGAGTCTTGGGCCCCTGACACTTATTGTGTTGTCTCTTAGCGGGCTAGTGACGCCCCTGCTTTTCATTGGGGGGATGTTTCATCGTCTGCAGAGTCTTTTGCTTTCGTAGAGAGTGATTTTCGTGTGCAAGTTTGGTACTAGTCCCTCTAGGATTTTCCAGGTGTATATAATCATGTATCTCTCCCGCCTGGGTTCCAGGGAGTACATTATTATTATTATTATTATTATTATTATTATTATTATTATTATTAATATAATCAAAAAGAAGTGCTAAACCACAAGGGCTATACAGCGCTGTAAGGGAGTACAGGTTCAGGAACTTAAGCGCTCCCAGTAATTGAGGTGTTTTATCTCCGTTATGCGTGCCGTGAAGGTTCTCTGTACATTTTTTAGGTCAGCAATTTCACCTGCCTTGAAAGGTGCTGTTAGTGTGCAGCAATATTCCAGCCTAGATAGAACAAGCGACCTGAAGAGTGTCATCATGGGCTTGGCATCCTTAGTTTTGAAGGTTCTCATTATCCATCCTGTCATTTTTCTAGCAGATGCGATTGATACAATGTTAAGATAAGATAAGATAAGATAAGATTTCGTTCGGATTTTTAACCCCGGAGGGTTAGCCACCCAGGATAACCCAAGAAAGTCAGTGCGTCATCGAGGACTGTCTAACTTATTTCCATTGGGGTCCTTAATCTTGTCCCCCAGGATGCGACCCACACCAGTCGACTAACACCCAGGTACCTATTTGCTGCTAGGTGTACAGGACAATAGGTGTAAGGAAACGTGTCGGAATTTCCACCCGCCGGGAATCGAACCCGGGCCCTCCGTGTGTGAAGCGGGAGTTTTAGCCACCAGACCACCTGGTCCTTGAAGGTGAGATCCTCCGACATGATCACTCCCAGGTCTTTGACGTTAGTTTTTCGCTCTATTGTGTGGCTGGAATTTGTTTTATACTCTGATGAGGTTTTAATTTCCTCATGTTTACCATATCGGAGTAATTGAAATTTCTCATCGTTGAACTTCATATTGTTTTCTGCAGCCCATTGAAAGATTTGGTTGATGTCCGCCTGGAGCCTTGCAGTGTCTGCAATGGAAGACACTGTCATGCAGATTGTATACCATTCTTGTACAACCTGTCAGACACTGCAACATCACGGAATCTTGATTCTGAGGACATGTACATAACCTTCTTCACGGCTACAACAATTACTACTACAACTAACCCATCTCTTTGGGTAGGACCTACTTCCACTGGGAAATCCCGCCTACAAGTGACTATGCCTCGTCTGCTACACGTCCCCTTTCCACCTGACGTTAGTATATAAGCGCCAGGCTCCTTGTCTTTCCTCCAGAACCTCCACAACTACGGTGCTCTTCACACCAACTCCAAGGTTGAGGTACTGATTACCACATCTTCTGTATTTAGTTCTACTGTCTTCAAATTATGTCCTGGAATTTGTATTGATAAAGCCACTGGATGGCGAAACGTCTACAATAAAGATACCCAGATGTTGAACATGTGTCTTAATTCTTGTACAACTCTTAACAATATATATACACTGAGAAACATACACAAGGTGATACTATGCCCAAATTTCTACCCTCGCCGGGTAGCATGCCTCGTTGTGCTCCGTGTTTTCTCGTGTTTTCACGGTCGCTCTTACGTGCTAGAACTTTAATTTGTGCCATCAATCCTATACGATACATCCCTCTAGCGCCTGGAACCAATCTTGGGCGGAAAACATTATATACTGAGTTTACTGCCAGAGGGGAATCATAGGCCTGTGTTCCGTGTGCAAAATAATAATAGGAGAACTTTTCTTTGTCAGAGGAAAGAAAGTCTCCCTGATAACATTGTGTATACATAGTGTATAGTGTATACTACAGTGGCTCCCTAGTATATAGATGATAAAGGCTAAAGTGTCATTTGAAAACAGGTGAATTTGTAAATGAAGTGATAAGCCTATAGAGGCAGGTGCCAGAAGTCGCCAGAATCTTACCACAGTGGTCAGCTGTTTTAATAATCTTCCTGGCCTGCTAGTGTACTCGCATATGATCTAGTGATACCAGTGAATAGCAGAATACAGTGTTGTAGTAGCAACTAATCAGTATTATAATACTACTTAGTGGAGTGGAGTGACTTTCATTAGTTTCTTTTTTCTTGAAATACCAGACGTATACTGTGAATTTCATATAACCTGTAGTTACCAGCGGTCGCAATATACACAACGAGAAGCAATTATTACTACAGAAAAAGCGTCCTTCCTCCAAAATTTCCACCAGTCAACTATAGTGATAATATAGCATTTATTGTGGTGGAGACGAAAAAAACTAGAAAAGCTAGATACAGCGATTGATAAACAAGGGTTGAGGGTCGACCGTTCATCATTGTAGGAGCTGCCAGAAATCACCGGTTCTTCAACACGCAAGTTATACTTTTGTGTCAATCAAATCACATATTACTCGGGTAGATAATTTCAGGTAGATCCTTCATGTGTTAGCCCAAATCACCGACCAGTATGTTTTAAATAAGTGACCCACTGATCAGATCAGATCGACTGGTCCGAACCCTCGACTGGTCCAAACCCTTGATGGTCTGAACCCTTGACTGGTCCGAACCCTTGACTGGTCCGAACCCTTGACTGGTCCGAACCCTTGACTGGTTTCAAATGGTTTCCTTGGACAATAAAGCAGACTGTAAACGGATGGGGTTGTAGGCGCCCTTATCAAACACAAACAATAAATATAAATCAGGAACGTACATGGTAAGCTGTCCAATATACAAGTACGGTTAGAA